AGGATAGAGGGGAGGGATTGTAATGTACTGTGGGAGTGTTTTAACCCTGTATGCCTGTGATTGGTCATTTTACCAGTTGTGTCCCAGTCTTCCATCTGGTCCCCTAGGGGAGTGTCCACCAGGTGGAAGACCTGCATAAATACTGGGCAGGTAGCCCCATTAAACCAGATCACTGCTTGACCCTCAACATGGAGCCTTGTCTCGTTCTTGGGGGGATTTATTGTACTACTCCCCTCCATATCTCTTGCCTCACTGCATCTCTACCACTGTAATTGAAATTATTGAGCTTCTGGCAATGTTCATGAGAAATCTTAGCCCTTCCTCATGTGCAATGGCCTCCAGTTCAGTAATATTCCTGAGTTTGCATGCTGCAACTGACTTCTTCAAATCCCACTAGATATTTTCTATGCAACCAAGCATTGATAGAATTTGAGGTATACTTGGGATCATTGTCTTGTTGAAGGTCCAATGATGCCTAAGCTTCAGCTTCCTCATAGATGGCATGACGTTTTCTCCTAGGATTTCCTTTTACTTCAGTGAATCCCTCTTCATTGACACATATTGCTGGATTCCAGTGTCAGAGGATGCATAGCAGCTGCAGAGCATCACGGAGCCACCATCATGATTAACTGTAGGCAGAATGTTATTTTTCACAAATGCTTTATTATTCTTTCTTCAGACATACCGCTGATCCATTGGGCTGAAAACTTCCGATTTTGTTTCATCGCTCCACAGAACAGAATCCCCAAACTTCTGTAACATATTTATATAATTTTTAGCACATTGGAGCTGATGTTTCTTGTGCTTCTGGGTCAGTAGTGCTATACGTCTTGGAGTTCTAGCACGAAAACCTTACTGTGCTCACTGAAGCCTCAGTGCCTTTGCCACCATGTTTAGCTGCAGGACTTTTGCAGTCACTTGAGGGTTATTCACAACCTGCCTTCTCAGAAATCTGGTTGCAGCCATTAATAGCTTCCTTTTTCTGCTCCATCCAGGTAGTGTAACAATAGATCCTTCAACTTTGAACTTGCGAACTATGCCTCCAATGGAACAGTCAGTGCCTTCACTATCTTTTTGTATCCTCTTCCTTATTTTAGAAGGGCGATGGTCTCTGCTCTTAACTTGTGTTGTCAGGGTGGCGGTCCGGTGCCCGGGACCCAGACACTGTCCGGGCGGCAGTGCGAGGACCAGGACACAGTATGCCTGATGATAAGTGTGAGTCTTTAGCGTGAGAGTGGATAGGTCAGGGTCTGGTGCAGGGTAACCGCATGCCCCCTGGTGTTGAGCACCAGCGTTTGTGCAGCCACATACCAGAACCCTGATTCAGCTTATGCGGATCCCAGGAACTAGGAGCTTGGAATTAAGCAGACCTCCCAGGAGCTGAAAATAGTAATATACTGGCGCTTTATACAAAACCTATTTATCACACGTTATATAACAATATTCAAGTAATAGCTGCTATATCACCATGTGTAATCTTTCCTTATACACTAATCATAAACATATACATAAAACAAAAGGTGAAGCGCTACATACAGATCGAAATCCAATTCTTTTGTTGTTATTCTTTCAAAACAGTGATGTGTATATTTATTTCTGAAAGAGAAATTAAATGTTCATAGTGCAACACTGTAAATAAAGAATTATTACAATCGTAGCTCTATATAAGGAACCACTCACATATTACTGAGCTTACGGCCAAGCTCAGGGGTATACGCCTTCAGGTCCGTCAAGGCGACCTTTCCCTTTCTTGTATCACCAAAAACGACACCCACGTTGTGGAAGTGTGGAGCCTCCCTCTTAGGCTCTTTTTCAGCGCGTTGTGTAGTTAAGGACTACACTCCTATATAGCAGGAACCAATAGCCCAATAAAATTCAAATATTTATTTAGGTATACTGAATTTAAAATTCTAATGGCCAATTAGAATACATAAAAACAAAGTATGTATAAAAGTAATAGTTATAACAGTAATATAAATTGTATAACAACAATGGGCATAAAGGTGATGATATTAAAGTCCCCAGAACGCGTTTCGCCAAAAAACTATCGGCTTCATCAGCTAGGTCAATCTAATCCTCCTTCTATCTGGAGTCCTGCTATTATACCTTATCCTTGATTTTGAGCGGCGTCCAGCTGTCTTTTGGCGCGCTGGTATTACCTCCTTTCCTCGTTCGGTATTGTATGCGTTTCAAGCCTCCTTTTCGTTGCGGTTCACTTCCGCGTCTGACGTCATACGTCAATCTTGCGTTCTTCCTGTATGCATTTCAAGCCTCCTTTTCGTTGCGGTTCACTTCCGCGTCTGACGTCACACGTCAGTCCTGCATTCTCCCTATTAAGTGTTCATTTGTATTCTTACCAGGGTTACAGGCATAGAGCAGAGATAACAATCTCGGGGGAAATCTCCATATTGCACAAAGTCTCCCCCCTCACAGAAAAACCGCACATTAATCCATACCATATAATAAAAAGAGATATATGAAATACACATAAAGCTATAATAATCTTCCCAATAAAAAGTCTCAGCAGCATACACAGTATATAATAAAAACAATAAAAAATGCTATTTTATTTAAGAAAACTGATTTTAGAAGTGCATATCCACATAAGGCAATAAATAATAAATAATTAATATCTTCTCTACAATCTATTAGAGTTAAATCTAATAACTCTAGAAGAAAAAAAAAAAATAAAAAAAAAGTTTAATTTAAAAAGTGACAGATTTCAAATTCAGAATTTAGACCATAGGGGATGAGAGTGTTAAGTTCAAAGATCCATTTCATCTCTTCTTTACTGAGTTTCTGATTAAAATCTCCTCCCCTCCAATCTTTTTCTACTCTCACTAATCTTAAAAATAGGCTACCTAGTGGAGATTGATTATGATGTATTTTATAATGGAGGGGTACACTATGATTCTCTCCTCCTTTAATTATATTTCTACTATGCTCCTCGATCCTAACATGGAGTGGCCGAGTCGTTTTCCCCACATAATTTAGTCCACAGGGACATTGCATTACGTAAATGACATTGTTTGTATGACATGTGATTCCTTCTCTAATTTCATATTCTTTCTTCTCTTTGCTCATGAAGTGTGTGATTTTTCTTCTTTTATTTCCTGTTCTCCTACACGCTAAACAATATCCACAGCCAAAAAACCCTTTTTCTCGCTGAAAGAATGTATCATTGCTTTTCTTTTCTTTAATAAAACTGGATGTAAGAATACTTCGTAAGTTCCTTACTCCTCTGTGGATAAACTGAGGTTGTGGCGGTAATATTTCCTCTAACACTGGATCTTGGCGTAAAATAGGCCAGAATCTTTTTATGATATTCCTAATCTTAAAATTTTCAGTGCTAAAATTGCAAATGAATGGCACTCCTTCCCTATTCTGATGTATACGGTTTTGATATCTCAGGAGCTTATTTCGTTCTATCTCCTTAACTTGTTCCCTTGCTTCTTCTAATTTTTTATCTCCATATCCCTTTTCTAAAAAATCCTGTTTAATCTTCATTGACTGTTTATTATAATTCTCTAAATCTGTACAATTTCTCCTAATACGTAAAAATTGCCCTCTAGGGGCATTCTCCAACCATGGAGTAAAATGGCAACTTGCCTTTTCAATAAAACTATTCGCATCTACTGCCTTAAAATGATTTTTCGTCTTAATTTTCCCTTCTTCTATAAAAATAGTCAAATCTAAAAAAGATATTTCTTTCTCACTCCAAGTACTAGTTAGATTGATCCCCCATGTATTAAAATTTAAAAAAGCTAAAAATTCCTCCAAAAGAGGGGCTCCTCCTTTCCAAATGAAGAAAATATCATCGATGTAACGGCCATAGGAGGCCAAGTTCGCACCCCAGCCATGTCCTTCATATATAAAATGTTGTTCCCAATATGACATAAACAAATTGGCATAGCTGGGGGCGAACTTCGTCCCCATGGCCGTCCCATTCATCTGTAAAAAATATTCTCCACCATACCAAAAATAATTATTTTCCAGGATCAATCTTATACCCTCTAAAATATACTCTATTTGGGTCTCCAAGAAATCTGAATTATTCCTTAAAAAATATGCTACTGCTCTACACCCGTACTCATGAGGTATGTTGCTATATAATGACGCTACATCACACGTTACTAATAAAGAATTTTCCTCCCATACACAGTTATTTAGCATATTTAATACTGCTATGGTATCTTTTATATAGGATTTTGTATTTTGTACTAGGGGTTGGAGTTGTAGATCTATATAATGTGAGAGTCTGCTAGAAATTGCATCTATCCCCGCCACTATTGGCCTACCAGGGGGATTAGTGATGCTCTTGTGTATTTTAGGTAAAAAATAAAAAACTGGGACTTTCGGGTATATAATATTAATAAAATCAAATTCTTTTTGACTAAATATCCCTATATCTAGCTCCCTTTTCAGGAAATTCCTAAATTTATCCTGGATCTCCAGACAAGGATTAACTGTCAATTTTTTATATGTTACTCCTTCTGTCAAAATTCTTATGGCTTCCTTATTATAAGATTCTTTAGTCATAATGACTATACCCCCCCCTTTGTCTGCTGGCTTTATAACTAAATCTTCTCTATTTTTCAAGTCTCTAAGGGCTTTTTTTTCCTGTATGTTTAAATTGTCCTGAAAATTTTCTTTAAGATCCAATTTTTTGCATTCATTAAGGACCATAGTCTCAAATGTAATCATTTTGTCACTTATCATCTGTTTAGGAAAAAAATTTGATTTCTTTTTAAGATTCGTGTGTTTGAATTCATTCTCCATCTGTATCTGCCTTTCCATAGGGTTTTTTATAAAAAATTTCTTGAGGCAAAGGTTCCTCTTAAACTTATTTAAATCTACGTATATATCAAAAGGATTAATATGCTTACTCGGGGCGAATTTTAACCCTTTTTAAAGGATCTTAATTTGTTCTTTAGTTATTTCCATTCCACTTAAATTGTGTATTCCCAACCTACTGGGGTCCCCGTTTAATTCTATATCTTCTAGTCTTTTTCTTTCCTTTCTCTCTTGTCTTTCTTTGACTGATTTTCCTCCTCTCTTTCCTCTTGAAACGAATACCTTCGTCTCTTGAGGTTTGGGGGAAAATCTCTCCTTAGTTCTTCCTTGTGTCTTTCTATAATTCGACTCCTCCAAAAATCCTGTTCCCCTTCTCTATTCTCCAAGGCTTGATACTGATTATACACTCTTAAGGGTTCTCTGGTTTGGGGCTGGTGTCTTTCTCTATCTCTCCTCTGTGTAGTTCTCTCGTAATAGGGGGACTGATCAGAAATCCTTTCTCTCTCCCCTTGTAGTCTATTACTCCTTCTTTCATTTTCATCCCTTCGTTTATCCCTAAAACTAACTCTCCGAGATCTAAAATAGGGTTTATAATCATAATAATTCCTCCATTCTTTCTTCTCATATTTATTTTCCACCTTCCTCTCAGTCTGTTTTTTCTCCAGAGCATCTTTATAGGTTGTTTGAGGTATAGGATTTTGCCTATATCTGGGTTCATATTGAGTATAATGAGGAAAATTTTGTCTTGAATTTTTATATTTATCCATCTCCCTATAGTTCTCATCTCTAAATTGTCCTTGATGCTTAGAAAAGGATCTTACTTGTTTATTTTTATAATCTCTTTTATCTCTCAAATATTTATTTTTCTTTATTTCTATTACCCCTCTCTCTACTTTATCCAAATTATCCTTAATCTCCTGTGTTATGCAATCAAATTCTTCCTGATTTAACGCATTCAGGATTTCATCCTGACATTTATTTATTTCCACATCTAACTCTTTTAGGTTTTCTATCCTTCTTTTAATAATAAGTTGCATAGTAGTGAAGGAAAAACCTTCCAACATACTGTGCCATTCTTCCATAAAGCCCATATGTTCCTGATCAAATGTGGGCATTTTAAAATATCGTAAACCTCTTGGGGTAATCTTTTCCCCTATATATTTTTCCAGTGTGGCTATCTCCCATTTTATTTTTAGTTCCTTTTGCAGGAGTTTATCCAATTTCTCACTGGTTTTATTGGGTTCAATTATTCTTTTATTGTTCTCTGGTCTCTCCACCCAGTTGGCAAATTCAATCGCCATTTCTCTATGTATGTTATTTCTTTTGTCAAATAGAGACATTTTCTCAAATAGCCGCCTTGTATATATAGGAAAGAAGATTATGTACAATTAGAAAATAGTAATATACTGGCGCTTTATACAAAACCTATTTATCACACGTTATATAACAATATTCAAGTAATAGCTGCTATATCACCATGTGTAATCTTTCCTTATACACTAATCATAAACATATACATAAAACAAAAGGTGAAGCGCTACATACAGATCGAAATCCAATTCTTTTGTTGTTATTCTTTCAAAACAGTGATGTGTATATTTATTTCTGAAAGAGAAATTAAATGTTCATAGTGCAACACTGTAAATAAAGAATTATTACAATCGTAGCTCTATATAAGGAACCACTCACATATTACTGAGCTTACGGCCAAGCTCAGGGGTATACGCCTTCAGGTCCGTCAAGGCGACCTTTCCCTTTCTTGTATCACCAAAAACGACACCCACGTTGTGGAAGTGTGGAGCCTCCCTCTTAGGCTCTTTTTCAGCGCGTTGTGTAGTTAAGGACTACACTCCTATATAGCAGGAACCAATAGCCCAATAAAATTCAAATATTTATTTAGGTATACTGAATTTAAAATTCTAATGGCCAATTAGAATACATAAAAACAAAGTATGTATAAAAGTAATAGTTATAACAGTAATATAAATTGTATAACAACAATGGGCATAAAGGTGATGATATTAAAGTCCCCAGAACGCGTTTCGCCAAAAAACTATCGGCTTCATCAGCTAGGTCAATCTAATCCTCCTTCTATCTGGAGTCCTGCTATTATACCTTATCCTTGATTTTGAGCGGCGTCCAGCTGTCTTTTGGCGCGCTGGTATTACCTCCTTTCCTCGTTCGGTATTGTATGCGTTTCAAGCCTCCTTTTCGTTGCGGTTCACTTCCGCGTCTGACGTCATACGTCAATCTTGCGTTCTCCCTGTATGCATTTCAAGCCTCCTTTTCGTTGCGGTTCACTTCCGCGTATGACGTCACACGTCAGTCCTGCATTCTCCCTATTAAGTGTTCATTTGTATTCTTACCAGGGTTACAGGCATAGAGCAGAGATAACAATCTCGGGGGAAATCTCCATATTGCACAAAGTCTCCCCCCTCACAGAAAAACCGCACATTAATCCATACCATATAATAAAAAGAGATATATGAAATACACATAAAGCTATAATAATCTTCCCAATAAAAAGTCTCAGCAGCATACACAGTATATAATAAAAACAATAAAAAATGCTATTTTATTTAAGAAAACTGATTTTAGAAGTGCATATCCACATAAGGCAATAAATAATAAATAATTAATATCTTCTCTACAATCTATTAGAGTTAAATCTAATAACTCTAGAAGAAAAAAAAAAAATAAAAAAAAAGTTTAATTTAAAAAGTGACAGATTTCAAATTCAGAATTTAGACCATAGGGGATGAGAGTGTTAAGTTCAAAGATCCATTTCATCTCTTCTTTACTGAGTTTCTGATTAAAATCTCCTCCCCTCCAATCTTTTTCTACTCTCACTAATCCTAAAAATAGGCTACCTAGTGGAGATTGATTATGATGTATTTTATAATGGAGGGGTACACTATGATTCTCTCCTCCTTTAATTATATTTCTACTATGCTCCTCGATCCTAACATGGAGTGGCCGAGTCGTTTTCCCCACATAATTTAGTCCACAGGGACATTGCATTACGTAAATGACATTGTTTGTATGACATGTGATTCCTTCTCTAATTTCATATTCTTTCTTCTCTTTGCTCATGAAGTGTGTGATTTTTCTTCTTTTATTTCCTGTTCTCCTACACGCTAAACAATATCCACAGCCAAAAAACCCTTTTTCTCGCTGAAAGAATGTATCATTGCTTTTCTTTTCTTTAATAAAACTGGATGTAAGAATACTTCGTAAGTTCCTTACTCCTCTGTGGATAAACTGAGGTTGTGGCGGTAATATTTCCTCTAACACTGGATCTTGGCGTAAAATAGGCCAGAATCTTTTTATGATATTCCTAATCTTAAAATTTTCAGTGCTAAAATTGCAAATGAATGGCACTCCTTCCCTATTCTGATGTATACGGTTTTGATATCTCAGGAGCTTATTTCGTTCTATCTCCTTAACTTGTTCCCTTGCTTCTTCTAATTTTTTATCTCCATATCCCTTTTCTAAAAAATCCTGTTTAATCTTCATTGACTGTTTATTATAATTCTCTAAATCTGTACAATTTCTCCTAATACGTAAAAATTGCCCTCTAGGGGCATTCTCCAACCATGGAGTAAAATGGCAACTTGCCTTTTCAATAAAACTATTCGCATCTACTGCCTTAAAATGATTTTTCGTCTTAATTTTCCCTTCTTCTTCTATAAAAATAGTCAAATCTAAAAAAGATATTTCTTTCTCACTCCAAGTACTAGTTAGATTGATCCCCGATGTATTAAAATTTAAAAAAGCTAAAAATTCCTCCAAAAGAGGGGCTCCTCCTTTCCAATATGACATAAACAAATTGGCATAGCTGGGGGCGAACTTCGTCCCCATGGCCGTCCCATTCATCTGTAAAAAATATTCTCCACCATACCAAAAATAATTATTTTCCAGGAGCTGAATAGGGAGGCTCTGCAGCAAGAATGTATCCAGTACAGAAACAAGGCAAGACTAGGAAAGGCACCAAACATGAAAACAAGACAGAACTAATAGAACCCAGAACTGGAGCAGGACAGAAAGCAGAACCCAGAACATGTACATAAGACATGAGGAAAACAAGAACAGGGCAGGACAGGACTGTACATGAACTGGGATTACAAAATAAAACAAGACAAGATATAATAGGCAAAACAAGAGGAGACATAACTAAGCACTATATATGAAAAGTATGGGGATTTAGTTACATTATATGATCATACATTGCATAAGCCTGCCACAACGCCAATGTACCCCATATTCGGCAGGTCCTACACTGCCTAATGTTCGCTAACAGAACCATACTAAACCACAGTAGCACTTACCTGTAAGAAAGGGCAGAGACTTGAAACACTGCTGCAGGTCCAGACTGAAACAAAAGGAAAATGGAAAACAAACGGGTGTGGCAACATAAAACAAACTTTTAAAGGAAACCTGGACACTGGGAATTCCAGGGATGGATTACAGGAATAAACCCAGAAAAACCCAGCATAAAGAAAACCAGACATAGAATAGAAAACCAAAAAAACAAGAAAAACTAAACAAGAATTGTAAAAAGAGGACTAGATACCAGAAGCCATTGCCAGAATGATCTGCAGCGAGGAACAGGGTGTGACATGTGTATCATGCTTTTGGTTTAGCCATATTTCAAACATACAGTCAACTGTGACACTCAACAAACCCCTAGCCAGTTCAGGTATTTCAAGTGTTCCAGCTCAAGTACACTTGGTGCTACTAATGAAGATCTTGATTAGATGCATCAGGGGTGCTTGGGATAACACCTGTATTGCATACATGTGCTGTTTTGAGGGATTCTATTCAGGGATAAATCATTTTGAGACTGGAGAAGTCATTATAAGCTCCATTTTCACTTGAATTTTGGGAAACCACTTGAAGTTTGAAGCATTCATTGTTTTGAGCTATTTCAATTGCTTTTGTTTGATTTGTTAATTGCAAACAGCTGAAATTCTGTACATTTTGACAATAAACCTGATTGTATTTGCTCCTTCTTAAACCCTTTCATTTTACAACTTTACCCTCTAATAATAGAATAAGCTCCCTCACCACATACAATAGGCCACGTATGTTCATCTCTTTGCAAATCTTAAAGCAGCTCTGTCCCTTCTGTGTATTTCATAAAGATCTCTATGAAATACTAATACAAATTGAAATTTAATTGAAATTTCAACAAATCCTAAGATACCAAGACAAAGTATCACGTCAGACTCGCACGAACGAGGAAGCAACAGGGATACAGCGGAGCTAAAGTTTTGATTACCTGGACCCAGGGACTCTAAAAAGTTATTGGACTGCCCAGGCTTGAGCTGCTGTAGCTGTATTTACTAATTTATAAATTTTTATTGCTTTAGGCATATGTGCCATAATACATATTTTAAACTGGAATCAGTGTTTGTCCCTATATTTAGATAAATGTAGCGGAACCTGGATTCAGCGCACTCTAGGGACCTGATCGTCCCAGTGCTCTATAGTGTTGCGTGGCACCGAATACCACCCTTTCCTGGTGAATGAGATTCCTCTAGGGCAGTGGTTCACAACATTTTTCACTTGTGTACCCCATGGCAGCCCTTTTCCTTAAATTGCACGCTTCATATTAGCAAACTGGTTGTAATGAATATAGTTGTTGTTAAATAGTTACTGTTATTTAAAATGTATACATTTTTATCTGCACTGTCCACCCTAGGATCCCCTGCTTCTCATCTGCCCAGGCTCTCCCGCTACTCCTCTCCCCCAGACTCTTCCTCCTTCTCCTCTGCCCCAGCCATCCCTGCTCTTTCTCTAGCCTAGGCTCCCTCTGCTCCTCTTCTGCCCCAGGCTCCCCTACATTGTAAACAATGCTCTAGACCAGGCTTCCCCAAACTCCAGCCCTCCATATGTTGGTGAACTACAACTCCCATGATCCTATAAATGAAATAGGCTGAGAGTCATGGGAGTTGTAGTTCAGCAACATCTGGAGGGCCGGAGTTTGGGGAAGCCTGCTCTAGACCCTAGGGTGTTTAAAAAAAAAAAAAAAAACATATTATTACAATTACATTTTAATGATCTGTGCTATTTACAAATTATTCATATTTAGGTTTGTTTAAACTATTCCATTTAATGATTTTTGAGCCAAGAAGTGTATGTTGATGGCATAAGTATTATTTAATAAGTTTTTTAGCACAGTATATTTTATATTGGTTTGATTCATGTCACATATTTGTTGTTTGCTGTTCATAATAGGTTGTTATGGTGTTGTACTTGTAATTGCACTTTATTTTGTTTGTGTATATGAAAGTAATTGTTATAATTTATTATTTATTACAGGGCATTAATTGGCATAGTGCTGCACATTGAAGTCATCTTTACATTAATCACACTTTAAATCTGTGCATGCAACTTTCAGTTTAATATAAAAAACGTTGTGTTACACTAGAGATATACACATTGACATCACCAGTAAAGCAGTAACCATGATGTCATAGTTAGCTTGTCAAGTCACACTAGAAATAGGCACCTTGATTGTCATTAGAGGTTAAACTCACTAGTAAAGCAGTTATTGTTTCAATAGCTTCAGACATGGATTTGTACATTGTACTGGTAGTGCTGTTTCCTTTATGGAATTGTGTTGTATGTGAAGATACAGGTAAAAATCAATGTATCCTTTCTGGATAGTGTTAAATCTAAGCTGTATCAAAAGAGCAGACATATTGGGTATAAATGGCAAATCTTTAGTAATTCCATTATATAGCATACGTATTACATTGAACTTTCAGGAGTTAAATATTTGATCAATAATGACTATAATATTACTATTACAACATCTAAATGTCTTGACCAATGTGTTCAGGGCTTGATTTCCCATTGCAGCGAAAAACTGTTATCATCCATGACTGTAACACTGACACAAATGTACCAAGATTTTTGCTTAAATTTTATTTATTTTTGACAAAAGGCTGAACTTTTATACACCAAGTACTTGGTAACCTCGGATGCATTAATTAACAGGATTTTATTTCCTTTTTAGCTGCCGATGACATCGGCCCTCACATGGTGATAAGGATGGCTGAACTCCTTAGCCCTGAGGAATGCCAAGATTTCATCAGCAGAATCAATAGACCTGAAGACGATCTGGTTAAGAAAGTCTCAAACCTGTCTCCAAAACGACGAAGGCGCAGAGAGATTGGTAAATTTGCCGTGCGATTATTATATCATGTGTTAATGTTGTAACTAGAGGGCAGAGTTAATGAAATAGGGAATTTTAAAGTTTAATAAATCAGGAAAGATAATGTATTATTATTTTGTATTACAAATTTTATCAATTTTCACACATATATATTATCAGCAAACTTTGTTATTAAGTGTTCTTGCATAGCAAGACCATTTATTGTTATCTCACATATATATTATTATTAAGTGTTCTTGCAAGAACACTTATTGTTATCTCACATATATATTGCCACCCTAACTCCTCCCACAGTTTTTACACTACATAGACAAAAATTTACCAAAACGTGCAGATTGTTCCCGATCGGATTGCTATTACTTTGTGGAACGTTTCGCCGAATGGTTCACGGAATATCGTCGTTTTTGTGGCGCAATTTGTCCCATAGGAATGAATGGCAAAGCTAGAGTGGGAACTGGCAAAAGCTGAAAAATCAGGACATGATTTCTAAACTGCCACCACTCCCTTATTTTCAGGCCCACCTACACAAATCTTATATCAAACGTTCAGCTATCCCTGCTGCCACTAAACATGTCAACGGCTAAGCCATAGTCCTGATAGTTTTCACAATATAATCATTTGTTTGCAACTAACGCCGTCCATTGACATTCATTGAAACTTCCCTCTACAAAGCTCAAATTTGAAGTGCAATTTCTAAACTGCGACTGTGCCTTCATTTTTAATACTTCAGAGACATACTAGGCATCAAAATGTAGGTCTGGGTCTTGTGATTCTCACAATATAAAGCTCTTCGCTGTAGGATTGATAGTTTTTAAAATACAACCGTTTGAAGATGGCAACCGCCAAAATACTCTGACCTGTGCCAGGCTGCAGCAGCAAGTGATGTCATAGACAGGGCCTTTTGAACACCTGCTAATGTTTTATAAATGTATGGTTTAATGTAACTGTGCAACAACGTTGCAATTAAATGTGCTATATAAATGATAACAGTTACGTCGCCCACTCCAGTTGTAGACTACTGGTGGAGGCAAGAACACTTCACACAATTTCCCCAGAAATTGTAGCTTTTCTATTTTTCCTTTATTCTTATTATAGCCAAATTTGCCACCCTAACTCCTCCCACAGTTTTTACACTACATAGACAAAAATTTACCAAAATGTGCAGATTGTTCCCGATCGGATTGCTATTACTTTCTGGAACGTTTCGCCGAATGGTTCACGGAATATCGTCGTTCTTGTGGCGAAATTGGTCCCATAGGAATGAATGGCAAAATGTTCAAAACTAGAGTGGGAGCTGGCAAAAGCTGAAAAATCAGGACATAGTTACATAGTTACATAGTTACATAGCTGAAAAGAGACTTGCGTCCATCAAGTTCAGCCTACCTCACATTTGTTATTTGCTGTTGATCCAAAAGAAGGCAAAAAAAAACCAGTTTGAAGCACAATTTTGCAACAAGCTAGGAAAAAAATTCCTTCTTGACCCCAGAATGGCAGTCAGATTTATCCTTGGATCAAGCAGTTATTACCCTACATTGAAGATTATATCCTTGAATATTCTGTTCTTGCAAGTATGCATCTAGTAGCCGTTTGAACATCTGTATATGGACTCTGATAAAACCACTTCCTCAGGCAGAGAATTCCACATCCTGATTGTTCTTACAGTAAAAAAACCTTTCCTTTGCCTTAGGCGAAATCTTCTTTCTTCCAGTCTAAACGCATGGCCTCGTGTCCTATGTAAAGTCCGTTTGTGAATAGATTTCCACACAATGGTTTGTATTGGCCCCGAATATATTTGTATAATGTTATCATATCCCCTCTCAGGCGACGTTTTTCTAAACTAATAGGTTTAAATTTGTTAACCTTTCTTCATAGCCGATATGTTCCATTCCTTTTATTAATTTTGTAGCCCGCCTCTGCACTTTTTCTAGTGCCATAATATCCTTCTTTAGAACAGGTGCCCAAAATTGCACAGCATATTCAATATGGGGTCTTACCAGTGATTTATAAAGAGGCAAAATTATATTCTTGTCCCGAGAATGAATGCCCTTTTTCATGCATGACAATACCTTACTGGCCTTGGCCACATTGTTGCATAGTTTCTTGTCTATAACAATTCCCAATTTCTTTTCGTGTGTTGTTATCCCTATTATGCTTCCATTAAGGTTATACGTTGCTTGTGTATTCTTTCCGCCGAAGTGCATAACTTTGCATTTTTCAACATTAAATTTCATCTGCCATTTGAGTGCCCAGTCCCCCAGTCTATCTAAATCCCTCTGCAGCAAAGTAATATCTTACTCACATTGTATTGTTTTACAAAGTTTGGTGTCATCTGCAAACACTGAAACATGACTTTCAATGCGGTCTTCAAGATCATTTATAAACATATTAAATAGAAGGGGTCCCAGAACAGACCCCTGAGGGACACCACTTGCCACCTCTGTCCAGCTTGAAAATTTACCATTAATGACAACTCTTCGTACTCTGTTTTTAAGCCAATGTTTTTAAGCCAATGTTCTACCAAGAACAAGCATTTTCATCTAGACCGATTTCCTTGAGTTTGAACACTAATCTATTGTGTGGAACTGTATCAAATGCCTTGGCAAAATTCAAATAGATCACATCCACTGCAACACCCTGATCTATACTTCTACTTACTTCTTCGTAGAACGCAATCAAGTTAGTTTGAAATGACCTGTGCTTCATATAACAATGCTGATTTTTGCTGATAACCATGTTCTTCTCAAAGAATTCTTGAATATTATCCCTTAATAACCTTTCAATCAGGACATGATTTCTAAACTGCCACCACTCCCTTTTTTTCAGGCCCACCTACACAAATCTTATATCAAAACGTTCAGCTATCCCTCCTGCCACTAAACATGTCAACGGCTAAGCTGTAGTCCTGATAGTTTTCACAATATAATCATTTGTTTGCAACTAACGCCGTCCATTGACTTTCATTGAAACTTCACTCTGCAAAGCTCGAATTTGAAGTGCAATTTCTAAACTGCGACTGTGCCTTCAATTTTAATACTTCAGAGACATACTATGCATCAAAATGTAGGTCTGGGTCTTGTGATTCTCACAATATAAAGCAATTTATAGTTTTTAAAATACGACTGTTTGAAGATGGCAACCGCCAAAATACTCTGACCTGTGCCAGGCTGCAGCAGCAAGTGATGTCATAGACAGGGCCTTTTGAACACCTGCTAATGTTTTTATAAATGTATGTTTTAATGTAACTGTGCAACAACGTTGCAATTGAATGTGCTATATAAATGATAACAGTTACTCCGCCCACTCCATGTTTAGACTACTGGTGGAGGCAAGAACACTTCACACAATTTCCCCAGAAATTGTAGCTTTTCTAGTTCTTATTCTTATTCTTATTATAGCCAAATTTGCCACCCTAACTCCTCCCACAGTTTTTACACTACATAGACAAAAATTTACCAAAGCGTGCAGATTGTTCCCGATCGGATTGCTATTACTTTGTGGAACGTTTCGCCGAATGGTTCACGGAATATCGTCGTTCTTGTGGCGAAATTTGTCCCATAGGAATGAATGGCAAAGCTAGAGTGGGAGCTGGCAAAAGCTGAAAAATCAGGACATGATTTCTAAACTGCCACCACTCCCTCATTTTTAGGCCCACCTACACAAATCTTATATCAAAACGTTCAGCTATCCTTGCTGCCACTAAACATGTCAACGGCTAAGCCATAGTCCTGATAGTTTTCACAATATAATCATTTGTTTGCAACTAACGCCGTTCATTGACATTCATTGAAACTTCCCTCTACAAAACTCAAATTTGAAGTGCAATTTCTAAACTGCGACTGTGCCTTCATTTTTAATACTTCAGAGACATACTATGCATCGAAATGTAGGTCTGGGTCTTGTGATTCTCACAATATAAAGCTCTTCGCTGTAGGATCTATAGTTTTTAAAAGACGACCGTTTGAAGATGGCAACCGCCAAAATTCTCTGACCTGTGTCAGGCTGCAGCAGCAAGTGATGTCATAGACAGGGCCTTTTGAACACCTGCTAATGTTTTATAAATGTATGGTTTAATGTAACTGTGCAACAACGTTGCAATTAAATGTGTTATATAAATGATAACAGTTACGTCGCCCACTCCAGTTGTAGACTACTGGTGGAGGCAAGAACACTTCACACAATTTTCCCAGAAATTGTAGCTTTTCTAGTTGTTTTTGTTCTGACAAAATTTGTGCAGGATCTCTTTTTACTAGAAATGTTTTTATATAACGCTACTCTGTACTTTGCAGCAGCAAATCTATAAAGATACACATTTATTGCAGTTCTCTGATCATTTCATATGTACCATTACAGAAATATTCCTTCAGACTAGGGTGAGATAATCAGATACTTTAAATTATTATTATTATAATAAACTTCCATCAAAATTATTTCCATTCTTACCATACATAAATACAAAACTAGATTACAATTCAGATTTTAGATTTTCGTTTTATTTAGAGATTTATAATTAATGTGTAAAAAAAAATTCAAGGAAAATGTGGGTGCCCATACCAAATTCTGAAGCTGGTGCTAATGCAGTTGATTGTTCACCCACTTTACAGCTGATTTTACTGATCACTGTTAGCATTCCAATGAAAATGTGTTTAAACAGGCGTGTTTATATCAAGATAATTATTTTACATGTCCACGGAGCACCACTGATTGAATTACCAGCAAAATCCTGGGAGCTAATTCTCATTGTATCTCCTCTTTCTACACACAGTGACCAAGGAGCAATGTTTGGCAACATTACAGAAATGGTTTGATGAAAAAGGGGAAACAGTCTATTGGGACCGGATCTCTACTATTTTATATCAAGTGGGACGACCTGATGTTTCTAAAGGTAAATATAAATGTAGTAATTTAGAAGATAATGGTATTAATAACAGATGTTGTGATGTTAAAGCGGTTAGAGGTCACAGTGCTTCAGTATCTCTGTATACATCCTCTTATTTCAAGAAATTAAAGTGTCCCTGCCAATCCTGACACATTTTATCTTCATATTGAAATAAATGCTTCAGACTACAGAGTTTATGAATTTCATAAGGTAGATTTTCATAAATGTAAAAATTAATCCCATTCATTCTCTATAAACCATATGCCTGTATAGCATAGCAGTGTGAAAGTATCCATAGAAAGTTGGATTTTCCACTAATACACCAGGATAGAATTTGAACTTTACTAAGATCATGAGAAATGAAATGTCTTATCATGTCGATACATGCCGTAACGTGTTCATATGTTTAATAGAACTTGGAAGAAATCTCAATCAGGACAAAATTCTGGAGATTGAGAAGAACGCTGATGAATATAAGCAAAAAATGCTGGATTCATCTCTGCTTCTTCCGAATGAAGAATTTTCTGAAATCGATGCCAGGCAGAGAGATGGTGAGTACCCAACATAAATAAACATTTAGATATTTAAGGATTTTTTTAGCACTTTATATTGCTATTTCTGGTGTATGGCTGAGAGGGAGGGGAAGCCATGGTTACCGAGACAGTCACTTCCTCTGCCCAGCTCCACCCTTTCTTACTGCCAGAATGCAGCCTACTATACTCTTTGGTGTGAAGGTTACTACTGGTTTGCTTTGCACTGGAGCCAGGGCTTTTATAGAACTTCAAAGACAATAATAATTAATAAAATATATATCGGTCTATCTCTGTCACACAGCTGATGTTTTATCTGTATATTTTACTCAGTTTAATAATGTTGTGCTTATGACATGCTGTCCTGTAATTTTTTTTATAATGTTTCTTTTCTACAGTTTCCAACTTTGAGGATATGGATTGGGATCTCATTATTGAAAGAAAGCCACGCCCACCTTACCAGCGAGCACTTACCGAGTGGTGCTGGTACATGTTATATGGCGTTATTTTGGGATTCCTGGGAGGAGCTGTGATGGTGGTCATGATCTATCTATTGTTCAAGGTTTTAAAGATTGATGGAAGAGAGAGAGATTTTTACAAGATTGTCTGATAATACGTGTCTGCACAGTAAGTAAGTGATGATTGAAATAAATGAGAGATTAAATAAACAGCACTTGAACTTCTGCATTTCTAGTAATTTAATGTTTATTTGTCTAATGGTGGATTATTACTGCCACAAGATCAAATTTCTGTACACAACTTGAGCTGGTGATACAACATTAGCAATGTCCTACTCAAGACATTCAAATTGTATAATAAAGAGTCATACACAACACCTGAGCAAAACACATACTATAACCAAGAGCTCCATTGTCTGTCTACAAATCTCAGTAGAGAAAAAACAACATTAGGGAACCATGAGACATAATGAAGATTACCACTTTTATTACTTTATCACCCATAGATCTTCACACTTGAAACTGTGTAGTTCAGGTTCTCCATAAGCAGTCTGGCTTAGTTTTGTTATTTATTATTGCTGCAGATAACCAATGACTAATGTTAACGTTGATCAAATTTTGACTTCAAGAGTTACATATATTTTTTGTCATAGATTTGCCTTGAATGTATTTCATGGTATCTGTCACACTGTCAGGGATCTTACCTGAAGTGGGAGTCCAGCACGCAGAGTTGAGGCACCCTTTGCAATTCGACACAGACCGAGGGGACTCAGGACAGAAATCCCCAAGGCTGTGACACAGTGCACTGGGGCTGAAATAACCAGTGCTACCTGGAACGCAGTACAGACAAAGGATATCCAGAAGAGTAGTCAGTATCAGAATCAGAAGTCAGGACGGGCGGCAATCAGGCGAAAACAGTAGACGAGCAGGGGATCAAAAGCAGGAGTCAGATGAACAGCAGTGAAACCAAACAGGAACAGGAAACACGATCTGACAACGAGAACCAGCCTTGCGGGGTTTAAATAGGGAGTCTCAGCCAATCATCAAGGAACCAGGAACAGGTGTGCACATTCCAGGCGTACAGGCTCAGACTACAGGATACCAAGAACAACCAGAAACAGTCAAAGATGCGTGGAGCTCAATGCAAGGATACCGACTGGGATGCAGGAAACTCAGGTTTGATCCCAGCCAGACCCAAATACACAATATTGTGTAAAGCACAATGGTGATCCTGACATTACCCCCCCTTCAAAGACGCCGTAGGCGAGAAGAGGAACGCAACTTACGACCCAGGAGGTTACTTTTTGGATTTCTTGGCTTTGGTGGTACTAGTAGGAGCAGAGGTCATAGCTTGTAGGGCCTTTTCAAATACTTGCAAGTCCTCCTTCCGGACTAGAGTCCCATTAGAGGCATAGGTACAGCCAGAAAGAGGGTCTTCCTTGACAGGACTTGTAGTGGTTGTGGTGCTTGCCTTCTTAGAAGCAGAATCTTTAGTAGAAATAGAGATCTCAGGTTCTTTAGTAACAGATTCCTGCACAACCTCAGGAGCAACGACTGTAGAAGGCTGAGGATTGGACAGAGTGGTCAAGCAAGGACAGGCAGCATGTTGGCAGACAGGTCTCATAGGATATGCCAGAGTAGTACCCAGACGGAGAACCCGAGACCTAGATGGACGAATGGGACAAAAAGATATTAAATGTCCCATCTCCCCACAATAATAACACAGTCCATGCGCCATCCTTCTTGCCCTTTCTTGAGATGACTGACGGAACCTAACCAGTCCAATCTCCATGGGTTCCTCCGCCTCCCTGCCAGATTTATACGATGTTTCGGGAGACTTGGGAGCGGTAGGGTTAGCTGTAACATCAGTCCGAGTGAAAGGAGTAGTGTAGTCCATTTCCAGTCCGGGTTGCAATATGTGTGAAGCAACAGTAGATGATCTATGTACATATGACTTTTGTGTCTTGTTGCATTGTAAACCCAGGGACCGAATAAAGGACTCCCAGGAATCTAGGACTGGGCTTTTGGCGAGTAACAACTGGTGGGCCCAGATCTTAAGGTGCCCCGACAATAAGGTAATCGCTGTCCTCACTTTAATGACGTCTGTGGCATAGGTAAGTGGTCTCAGGGAGAACAGGACCTCGCAATCAACTTTGAAGGTATCATACTTAGACCGGATCCCAGAAAATTTCTCGGGTAGAGCAACCAGCGGTTCAGAGAGTCCAGAGTCATAGGTTACTCTCCCTTTAAGGGAAGCCAGCTCCTGCTGTAAGCCCTGCAAAGCCTGGGTGAGCTGGGAAACTTGCTGGGTCAAGGCTGCAACGGTAATCTTCAACTCTGCAGACTCCATTTGGTCAGATCGTACTGTCAGGGATCTTACCTGAAGTGGGAGTCCGGCACGCAGAGTTGAGGCACCCTTTGCAATTCGACACAGACCGAGGGGACTCAGGACAGAAATCCCCAAGGCTGTGACACAGTGCACTGGGGCTGAAATAACCAGTGCTTCCTGGAACGCAGTACAGACAAAGGATATCCAGAAGAGTAGTCAGTATCAGAATCAGAAGTCAGGACGGGCGGCAATCAGGCGAAAACAGTAGACGAGCAGGGGATCAAAAGCAGGAGTCAGATGAACAGCAGTGAAACCAAACAGGAACAGGAAACACGATCTGACAACGAGAACCAGCCTTGCGGGGTTTAAATAGGGAGTCTCAGCCAATCATCAAGGAACCAGGAACAGGTGTGCACATTCCAGGCGTACAGGCTCAGACTACAGGATACCAAGAACAACCAGAAACAGTCAAAGATGTGTGGAGCTCAATGCAAGGATACCGACTGGGATGCAGGAAACTCAGGTTTGATCCCAGCCAGACCCAAATACACAATATTGTGTAAAGCACAATGGTGATCCTGACACACACGTTGGCATACTTAACTTTCTCGCCAGAACTGACCATGGGAAACTGCCTGAAAACCAATGAAGTTCCCCTGCAGCAAATCTTACCCATCTGCTTCATGCGATCACGAAGATAACGCGAATACATGATTCAGATCTGTAGATTACATCCTTGCCTACAAGGGGACTCCCTGGGTTGTCAGGAAGATCCCCTAACTTATGATTAGTAAAAACAAACATTATAGAAGCATTTAGTATATTAAATAAATATTTGTTGAGAATGAAATTATATATATATATATTTCTGTATATTATATATATATATATATATATATATATATATATGTAACCCCTCTGGAACACAGTGATTTCTGCTTTATGAAATATCCTGCAGTTCCTATGGAGTGACCAGCAGAGGGGGAACTCCTGCAGCACCTGGCCGGATATATGCAGGGCTCCATTTAAGTTTCGGCGGGAAGGTTTTGGCAGAGAAGGAAGGAGAAGGAACCCTGCTAAGCTGGAGAAAGACGTTTACAGAGTGAGAGCTGCTGGTTCCAGTGTGAAGCCTCACTGGAAGGAGGATTTCAGCAGGCATCTATATCCTGACTCAGGCACAGAGCGGTTTCTTTGGCAGAGACTTGCTAGGGAAACAGAGAGAAAATCCCAGAAGCAGCAAGAAGCAGTGTTTCCCCTTCTTCCTGGCCCTGATTACATTTGGTGTGGTAAGCCTGCATACTCATACAGTTCTTTGATCAGAAGAAGAAACATTGCAGCAGCCTCCCTTTACTCCTGTGGCACCCCACAATGTTGGAACCCCTCCGGTGTCACTCGGTTCTCCAACTCTGAAGCCCGTGCTTTGTGCCTGGGACCTCCTTTAGAACCTCCTCTAGTTCTATGGGAGAGTCAGGGCCTGGCGTGGTAAGCCAGCATACTCTCCCCCTGTACACAGCAGGGCACCCTGACTTTGGGCTGCACAGTTTAAAGACTGGAACTCTATTCTTAATGATTAGTGGAAGCCCTCTACAGTTTTCCAAACCCATCAGGTCGATTACAAACAGCTGACAGGGCCCCAACTACGTGCACCGTCCGCTGGTACCCAACGGCCACTAGTGTGAAGGCCTAAGGAAGGGTGAGGGACCACATTGTAACTATGGGTGAGCATATATGTAAGGTACTCCATTATGACCGCGTTTTAGTTGTATTGTATTTTATTGGTGTGTGTCACATGTTGCGTTATTCTGCTGTGCAATACAGATTTTTTTTTAAACAGATAACCCTGTCAGTTGTTGCTGATATAACCATGTTTCCAGCAGGACCCCACATCCACACTCTGGATGCCCAGCTGTGTGGAGACACTGCCAAATGTTGGTACCCCATCTCCCAATTGATGGAGGCTCAGGATCGGCCTACCAAGCACAATGAGGTAACCGGGGTGAAGGACCCCAGGGGTATAGGGGGCGGACTAAGGAGGAAGAACCCGTTACATATTTATATATACATACATACACAGGCCCGGACTGGCCATCGGGCATACCGGACAAATACTTTTTTTTAATAAAAAATACACATACATTTTTTTTTTTACCCCACAGCACCCCAAACATCACACTACACCCCAAACACACACACTGCACCCCAAACAGCACCCAAAACACAGTGCACCACAAACACACACACCATGAATCCAAAACACACAGTGCACACTTCACACACACAGTGCACACCCTGCACCCCTCACACACAGTGCACCCCTTACACACATTACATTCTAGAAACACACACTACATCCCTTATACACACACCCTAGATCCCATACATAACTATGGATCCTATACACACATACACACTAGAATCTCTATACACGCTCTGAATCCTCTACCTACACACACACACTAAATCTCCTATGCAAACTCTGGGTTCTCCACACACTAGATTCCCATACACACACAATAGATCCCCTATAGGCACACAATGCACCATCTACACACACACTACATTAATGACATACATACTCTGGATCCCTTATGAACACACTAGATCCCCTGTAAGTATACACACACACTACTTTCCCTAAACACACACACTTTACAACCCCTACACACTACATCATCTTTACACACATACACTACAGCCCCTATGCACACAATCGCTACATCACCTATACTCACACTCTCTACAGCCCCTAGCCATACATATTACACCAGAAAAAACACAACACAACAACCGACATTTACACAAAGCACCACACCTCGATAAACT